CATGCAGTGTTTAAATTTTTAGTAAATGAATTCCAATAATTCATTCACACTGTCATGCTCTTCCAGAGGTATCTGTAAGATTATTAGACAGTTTTTCTCTCCAGAAGATATCATCACAGATGCTTGATTTTACAATTCTCAAAACTGTAAATTTGTGTCTGCAGAGACTGCATGCCTCTTCTGCACACAAAAATGTTATTAAAATAAACACAAATTTGAGAAAAAACCTCAATCCCGTTGTTCTTTTGCAAATCTATGTACACAGAATTTATTTATTTATTTATTTAGAAAATTTCTAGGCTGCCCCATTTGCCGAAGCCTCGGGGCGGCTTACAAATAAATTAACATACATAAATAGCAATGTAAAATACCCATAACTGTATAAAATAAGTCACCCTGGCCAAAAAACTTTAAAATAAAAATAACATTAACAATTAAAATGACACTTGAATAAAAAGGTCTTCGCCTGGCACCGAAAAACAAATAACGACGGCACCAGGCGGACCTCTCTGGGGAGCGCATTCCATAGATTGGGCGCCACTGCAGAGAAAGCCCTCCTCCAAATACCTATCCTCCTAATTTCCTTCACGGAGGGTTCCCGGAGAAGGGCCTCTCCCGCTGATCTCGGGGGGCGGGCGGGCATATATGGATGTAAGCGCTCCTTCAGGTAGCCAGGACCCAAGCCATTTAGGGCTTTATAGGTCATCACCAACACCTTGAATTGGGCCCGGACTTCAATGGGAAGCCAGTGAAGCTGACGGAGGACTGGAGTCATGTGAACATAACGCCCAGTCCCCGTCAGCAGCCTGGCAGCTCTATTTTGAACCAATTGAAGTATCCAGACCGTCTTCAAGGGTAGCCCCACGTAGAACGCGTTGCAGAAATCAGGTCGGGAAGTCACCAACGCATGTGTCACTGTCGCCAGGCAGTCGTTCTCCAGGTAGGGGCGCAGCTGATGGATCAGCCGAAGCTGAAAGAAAGCGCTCCTCGCCACCGCTGTCACCTGAGCTTCCAGTGAAAGCTCTGAGTCGAGGAGCACTCCCAAGCTGCGGACCTTGTCCCTAAGAGGGATTGCAACCCCGTTCAGGACAAGGTCCAGGTCCCCCATCCGAAAGCCCGATCCACCTACCAACAGGACCTCCGTCTTGTCTGGACTGAGCTTCAGTTTATTGGCCCTCATCCAGCCCGTTCCCTCGGCCAGGCACCGGTTCAGCACAGCCACTGCCTCACCTGGATTGGTGGAAAACGAGAGGTAGAGCTGGGTATCATCAGCGTACTGATGACTCCGCACCCACACCTCCTGATGACCTCTCCCAGCGGTTTCATGTAGACGTTAAACAGCAAAGGGGACAAAATGGACCCCTGCGGTACTCCAGGGCAGAGCTGCCATGGCGCAGAGCCATGAATCAACCTGTTACCTCTTAAGTGCTACATTTCAAAAAATTCAAAGAATAGAGGAAGATTATTGGGAAAAGAACTGCACAAGAAGCAAAGTGTGAGGAGGGAGAGACAAGCAGTTAAAATGAAAGTGAGTGTTTGAGCAGAATACTCCACAAATCTTTTGATCTTTTTCTGTAAACCTGAGGTTTGTCGCATTATTCCTTCCTTGGAGAAGAAAACCTACAATGGCAGCAGGTCATAAGAGACCCAGTTTGGGAATGTTTTAATGAAGTTCCTCTTCCTATGGGTAAGGCAGGCATAATATGCAAATTATGAAGAAAACCATGATTTAAATCTAGTCTTACTGACTAGTGTTTTAAATTGATTTTATTTAAATCAAATTCACTCTGATGATGTTGTTCAGTGTTTCTATGTTGTTGTTGATAATATAGCTGAAGGGGCCAAAATTCAGTCAACTGGTGAAAAGTATGCCCTGAGGCCCCAAGTGGGCATCCCCAGAATAGCAGAGCATTGGTTTCACATGGAACAAGGCCCTGCTCCTCCTCCCCACCAGCTGCCTCCCAGTGGGTAGAGAAGTGTCTGTTGCGAGGGCCGATCTCACGTTTCACTTGCAGGGGCAGTGCTGGGAGGATGCATCTGCACGCTTATCAGTGTATTATGGATATCATATTTTTGATTTGAAAGTTCTGCAAATCCTTTCCTTTCAGGCTTGTCCAAAAGCCAGAAATGGGGACACTGCCTGAAAAGTTACTGTTTTTAAGAAGTGGGACTGCTGAGAGTTAACAAGAGCATTCTTCTTTCCTCTGCCCAGGTGGTTTGGTCGAGCTAGGAAATGCCTGTTTCCAGCTTAGCCAGGCATGTTGGCCCATGGTTAAGCAGGGGAGGGGGCAGCTCAGTGGCAATGCTCTGGCTGTACATGCAGGAGGTCCCAGGTTCTTCTAGGTGGGGTGTAGAAGACCCCTTTTCTGAAACCCTGGAGGGCCACTGCTGCTGATTTGTGTTGGTAATACTGGACTTGATGGGCCAAGGGTCTGACTTGGGATTGGGTGGCTTCCAGCATTCTTGGAGCAGATGACTCTCCATAAGCTCATCTGCATGTTACTTGACCAGGAGACAGGCCGTGGTTGGCACTTTGCAAAAATGAGCCAGGCCTCCTTGCAGTTTAGCCTTCTGAATATCCCGTACTGGCTGGTGTGCAGAGGGAGAGAAAACCCTGGGGGTTTCATGTTTCTCTGCTTCCTTTGTCCTTCCAATCTGTGAGTGGAGGGGTCAGCCTTTCTGCTCTGGGTCCCAGGTTGTTCAGAAGTTTTCATGTTCTTTTCTATTTTGCTATTTTGGCATTGGTGCAAGGTTGCTCTTGGAGCCATTGATTATGGAGAACTGGCTCTTTGACATGCAGGTACAAATCTCAGTCCTGGGGTATTTCAGAGATGCTGTGCTTCACTCATACAGTTTAGTGCTTGGTTAACAGTCTGTGCAGAAAGATCTTAGCCTCAGCCACCTTCTTAAGTCTGGGCTCCCAGCAATTTGGTGGAATTTGAAATTCCCTTGTCAGGCATGGGTTGAATTGACTGCTTGAAGGCCAGCATGACTGTCTCTCAACAATCCTAGATGTTGGTCCTTCTTCAACACACCTCAATTCAGGGCACAGTCCTGTGCATGCTCAGTTTGGCTGACTGGGGCATGCTGGGAATTGGAGGCCTTTTTTCCTGGCAATACTGGATGATGCCTTTAAGCCATTAACTGATCAGATGGACTAATCTTGGCCAGACATCCCAAAGGGGTCCTCTGTGTGTGTGTGCGCACAAGCACTTCAAAGTGCACTTTGCCTTCTTCAGGACCCAGTTGTTTTCCCTCTTGGCAGGTACTTAGGTGCTGTTCCTTTTTTCCCTGTCTTTTCAGTTTTGTAAAAGGCTGACTGGCTGCACTTTCTAGCCAAGCAGGGATCCCATAATCAGCCTGACAGTTTAATGCAGTAATGTCATCAGGCTAGCACACAGGTGTATGTTCTTAGTTGCTTGCCTTCTGAAATTGCAATGGAGAGGGACTGTTGACCCCCCCCCCCCCAGCTTTGCTGGTGCTTTCCAGATGTGCTGCACTGATCCCCCCAAAACCAAACCCCTCCCATTCTGCATGTACTCCATCGACCACCACACTTGCTGGGCTGCGCATACCATCTCTGGAACGTGTGTCCTGGAGTAGCTTGCCGGAATGTCCTGAGGATACTGAGTGAACTGTGTTCTGCATCGCCTTCCCTCCTTTCCCTGCTCGAGTGATGCAGGCCGAATGCCAACAGCCGCTGAGTACATCAGCTGCACTGGACTCTTGAACAGCAGGGTTGGATCTGGCTCTGTTGACTTTTTCTGAACACTGCAGTCTTGTGTCTTGGCTGATGCAGGATATGCTGGTGTTATGTAAGCTGGCAGGTCGCACTTAGGGCCTTTGCGCTAGCCCAGCATCTCCTCACTTTGCTGTGCCAGCAGAGCAACTGTATGGCATCCCTTTTTTACCCCCCTCTCGCTCTCTCTTTGCGCACCGAGGCAGGTTTGGGAACTCAGGCTGATCTTGCTTGTAACAGCAAAGCCTTTGGGGAACGCTCTTGGCCCTGGGCAAACGAAGCTCGCTGTTTGCCATCCAGTCCCTGTGAGGGAAGGAGAAGCTGTCAGCTATGGCTGGGAGTGTGGATACAATACACCAGTACAGTGTGGACCCCTTGGAACTGGAGGAGCTTTGTAGGGGAGGCTGATGCTTGTGGGGGCAGAGTGGGGCTGAAGTTAAAGTCTCAGTGACAAAAGGAAGAGGCAGTGGAGGAACTGAATGGATGCCTACCTTGCTGTCCCCTCCCAAGGCCCCATGTTGTTAAAGAACTTTTTCTTAAAATGCCCCATTTTATTTTTATGAAGAGGTATAAAAATCATGCCAGTTGTTTACCTTCTCACTGAAGCTGCTCTCAGAAAGGAAGCCCCAGACATCTTGCACTGCCTCTGGTAAGCACCTGCAGCCTTGTTCCAGTCATGATTCTGGCAATTCTGCTATTGCTGTTGAACTGTCTCATCTGTCCATGGAGGGTTGATGTAGCTTGGAAATTTAAAACCAGTCTCAAGATGGAGGTGGCTGTGTCTTTGGGGTTGGTGGGAGCTGACAGTCCTCCCAGCCTCACATTTGCTTGTTCTTCGCCATGATGGGGAGCTGGATTGTGCATGAGATGGATGCCCATAGTCCGTTTCTGTAGCATAATTCCCGAGGGAGTGGGAACTGTGAACACATGTGGGGAAAGGAAAGACGCCCCTCCTGTGGCAAAAGGCCAGCCCCACGAAGTCCGTCAGTCTCCCCATCACGCTTGTGCATAGGCTGAGGCAGGGAGTTCTTGGATGATGAAGCTGTGGCACCATTGCATGTGCCAGCTGCATTGCTTCCTCCTCCTTTGCCCTCTGGGGTCCCCCCTTAGCACACATTCCTGTGCTTGACATAGCCAATATGCAGTACTGTTCTGAGAGCATCCACTGCTTTCTCATCTAGGACACACAGAACCGCTCTGCAATGCCCCTCAAGCCTTCTCGATCCGTGGTTGACCTTTTCGTCTTGCTCCCGTCTTTCAGGGATCCGCTCATGGGATATTGACCTCACTGCCTGCGACCTTGATCAGCAGCTCAAGCTCTTTGTCTCCCGACACTCTGCTACCTTCTCAGACATCGTGAAAGGTAAGGAGTGAGCCGAGATGCTGCTTGAGGAGGTGGGGAGGGGCACTGGCCCCCACGTCCACAAGGGCTGTTGCTTTGTCTTGGGAACCCTGAGGCTGTGCGGCTGTGATTTGAAACCACAATCATGTCCCAGTTTTCTGCGCTGGTTTTGGCCTACATGTGAACTCATGGATGCTTTGTGGAGGCTGCTGTGCATGTAGTCAACAGAAGGAAGGGGCAGAAAGCTTTCTGAGGCAGTGATCCACCTTCTCCTGTCTCACTTCCCTTGTTCCCCCCCCCCCCCCGACCGCCCAAGCTGTGTTTCAGGTTCTATCCTTTTCTTTTCACTTGGTAGACTTGGTGCTAGTACACTGCAGTGAAGGTGGCATTTCATTTATTCAAAATTATTTTTAGGCTTCCTTTAAGGACAAAACTTTCCCGAGGCAGGGTGCAGGACAAGTACTGTGCCAAGGTATACAGTTACATAAATAATTTTGCAGTAAAGTACTATAAGGCACTATCAAAAACAAAATAGTGGGGTGCCAAATATGTGCACAACTGTGTTCATAACTGGCTGTTGAGAGTGCCTTCTGTATCAAGCTGGGAATGATGGATGCTGTAATCCAGCACATCTGGAAGGCACCAGGTGTGGCATTGCTGCCCTAGATTTCCCCTGTGCTCCATCTGGTGAGATGTGCAGAACATGCTGGCTGAAAGAGTCCTGCCGTGTTTAGTTTGCTGGCAGCCGCTATTCCGAGGTGTGCTGTTTCTACCAAGGGAGGCTCCCTTCTGGCCTCTCACTGTTCAGAGCTGCTGCTTCCATGGATTTGGTAATGCTTTGAAGGGGAGCAACCCTGGTGGATCCAACCAACGGGCCACTGAGTCCAGTGAGGCCTGGCGGCTGCTGCCTTTTTTCGTTCTGCTTGAGGAGCAGATGCTGAAGCTGACATGCATCAGCTCTGAGTGGAGAGGTTCCCCTTGGCAGTTGAGGCAATCAGCAGATCTCTGGTTGATAATGAAGTTGTTTGGTCCAGACATCTGAGCTGCATCGTGCAGGCACATTTGGTGATGTCCCAAATTCTCTTGCAGCCTGCTTGGTTTGCAAAGCGTGCCTGACAGTCCCTGCTGTCCAAAGCAAGCATGCCTGCAAGCCAGCACGTGGTCTCCTGGTGCCGTGAGCATTTTGGCTGCTCTGGCAGCAATGTGCACAAATTCACATTGCTCTCCGGATCGGCTCTCTGGAAGGAGCAGCTGGCTGGCAGTTCGCCTCTCTGGGAGTCGCTCCCTGCCCCAAGAGCCCTCCAGGGCAGAACTGCAGCTCCTCTGTGTTTTGCTGTGGAAAGCAAACATTGTTCAGCCAGAGAGACAAAAGTGCTTTTGCTGGGCTGCTCTCTGCTGCTGCTTGGTCAGTTGACGTGCATGCTGCTCAGACCAGACAGGCCCAGCTGCTGCTCGTTTTGAGAAAACAAGCATGAGATCACCTACGCTGTTGCTGGCCAGTGGCCACTCCCTCCTTCTCTTAGGGAAGCAAAGTCTTCTCTTTGATGGTGCCTTGGGAAACCTGCCGTCTCTTCTTGCTACCTCACCCCTTTTCCCCCTTGCAGAAAGCTGCAGGCAGGAGACCAGACGGTTGGGTCAGATTTCTAAGTGCTCTGGTGGTCTGCTCTGGCACAACAGTCCTCTGTAATGCCTCTCTGTTTGACCCTGTAGACCCACTTTTGACCAGCTGCCTGCCAGCCAAAATCATGCTTTGCAGAAGTAGCCTTCCTGGGCATTGAGGCAAATCAGCTTGCCAGTCCAACCAAATCCAGTCCCGGTCCAAGCCCTTCGTTATTCAGAAGAGAGGAGGAAGCATCACGGCCCAGTGCACAGGCCTTAGGCTGCTTTTGGAACCTTTTCGTGTGAACCAAACTGGAATTGTGGGATTTTTAATCCCCAGTTGCTATGGCTGAAAACAGGAGCACTGGGCCTCTGGCAACAAAGTTCACAGGCGATGCTTTGTGATGTGTTCTTTCATGTGCACATATTTTCTGGCCACTGCAGTCTCTACCACCTTCTTGTCTCGATAAACCTAAGCACCTTGCAAGCGATGTCTGACACAGATCTCAAAACTTGTTTGTTTTCCATGGCTTAGTCACTGCCTGATGCACAACAATCCCTCTGCTTTTTGAGAACTGCAGGAATACTGTGTGGAAAGAAGTGTGTTTGAGTTTGTGCATTTGCAGAGGTCTGCAAGGTCTGTTTTCAAGAGTAAAGTCTATTTTTTACCTTTTGCCTGCCATAACATTTTGAATGAAGCCCTGGAAAGCAGTGGCTGTGAGGGGAGCCTCTCCTAGTCTGATCTAGTATTGCCAGTGTGGTGTGTCCTCATTTGCTTGGAGGGATGTCTACTTGGACTGCCCACCTGCATCTTGAATGGAGTGGTGTTTCCTCCAAAACGTGGCCTTGGACTTAACAGAATAAGGATACAGCCCATTTCCTCCAGCCACCTCCGAGTGCAGCAGTGGCCCAATTCATGGCCTCGGTGTTCTCAGCCTCTGCCTAGATAAGCTTTCTTACTTGCTTGGGCTTGTTGGCCATCTTCTGGCAGTGAGCCATGCAGTACAGCTGCTCTCTGGCCTCTTCCTCATCTCTGTGCTCCCTCCCTGCAGACGGGGAGCCCTCAACTTCCTCTTCCTCCTGTAGGATTGTCCTGTTCCTCAGCAAGAACCCTGGCCTCCCCTTCCGGGCTGTGGGTCATGCTGCTTCCTGGGGATTCAAGCCCCTGCAGCTCCTTCTCACCACCCCTCCCTCTTTCTCTCCTTCTTGTGACGGTTAAAGAGTTAGTGCAGTGCATGTAAAGCAGCCACAAGCATTAGAATTCTTTTCTCTGTGTGCCTGAGTAGCATTTATTTTTAAAACCTCTTCTGCTTCCCAGGGCAGTTGCAGTGGGCTCCTAAAAACTCTGCTGGGGAAAGGCCTTCCCATGTCCCAACATTTTGGAGTGCAGGTGGCTAGCCAGACCCCTCATTAAATCCCTAAGATAGGCTGTATGTGATTTTTCCTGGGTTTAGTGTTTCATCAGGACTCTGTCCATGCTAGCCTTCCATAACCTGTTGCCCTCTGGGTATATGGGCTACCACTTCCATCATCCCCAGCCAGCATGGGTTATGGTCATTGAGAATGAGGGGAATGGTCGCCCCAGACTGCCAGAGGGTTCTGGGTTAGGAAAGGCTGGTTTAGGCATTCCACAGACTTTGCACATGGCTTGGAGAGGATGCTGTTGTTGTTAGTCGCGAAGTCGTGTCCAACCCATCGCGACCCCATGGACAACATTCCTCCCGGCCCTCCTGTCCCCCACCATCCCCCGGAGTCCACCTAGGCTCACCCCAACTGCTTCAGTGACCCCATCCAGCCACCTCATCCTCTGCCGTCCCCTTCTTCCTTTGCCCTCAATTGTTCCCAGCATCAGGGTCTTCTCATGGGTCTTCTCCATGGAGTCCTCTCATCAGGTGGCCAAAGTACTTGAGTTTCATCTTCAGGATCAGGCCTTCTAAAGCGCAGTCGGGGTCGATCTGGAGAGGAGGTGGTACCCTCCAAACACTGAGCTGAGGGTGTGCCGGAAGGCAGGCTCTGGGTCTGTCCAGTCCAGGGGTCCTCAAACTTTTTCACCAGGGGGCCAGTTGAAGGGTGCCGGTGCTGGGCATGGGCTGGAAAGGTGATGCCAGTGGTGCACATGGGTGCTGAGGCGGGGGCGGGGTGCATGATGAGGCGAGGTGTGGGTGGGGGTAGGCATGTGCCGTGGGGCGGGCGCATGAGGCAGCGGCTTGCTCACTTGGAGAAACCACTGCCTCCCTGTGTGGCGGGGAGAGGTGGGCAGCAGTGTGTGTGGGCGTGGGCGCAGCGGGTCCAGATGGGCATGGTGGGCCGATTAAATGGGCATGGTGGGCTGGATCCGGCCCCTTGGCTGTAGTTTGAGGACTCTAGTCAGTATTGCTGGTGTGGACTGGCAGCCATGGCTTTTCGTAGTTCATGGAGAAGAACTGTCCTGCCCTTCTTGGAGATTATACATGAGAACTTCCTTGGGCAAAGCAGAAGCTCTTTAAGCCACAGCTCTTCCTTTAAAAAATAATGTCCTCATGCATGTGAAGGAATGTAAATGTACATAGGAACATAGGAAACTGATCTGGTGTGTCAGACCCTTAGTAGCTCTCAAGATGCTGTGGACCTGAGCTTTTAGCATTCCTGACCACTGGCCAGGCTGGTGGAGGTCCAAAATAACTAGAAATCTCCTTTCTGCCCATCCTTTCGCCTAGTTCGGTGTAGCTGATGCCAGCTGGTGGTAGTTGCTCTCCAGGGCTTTGGGCAGGGGTCATTCTCAGCCCTACCCAGAAATCCGGCCAGAGACTTGCCCTGGGGCCTTCTGCATGCACACCAGAAGGCAGCCAGCAATCATGCATTTTACTCCCTGGGCAGGTTTCAGTCTGCTCCGAAGGTCTTTTCTAAGCTTCCCGCGGACAGCACTGCCCTTTGGGCTACATCTGTATCTTGGCAGTGATACAGCACACTTGCCTGCCCCACACTGGCAAATGACTGGGGCTGTGCCGCACCCTGGGATCTGTGCCACCCCCAGAGGGGCACTCCCCTTGGTTGGCATGGGCACTCTCCAGGGAGCGAGAAGCTGCACTGAGCAGCCCAGCTTGGTCACGCCTCCTTCACTGGGTGCTTCTTTCGCCTCCCGCAGGTCAGCGTGCTCTGCACCACCGTGGGGAGGTCCTGGAGACACTGGTTTTGCTGAACCCGTCCGACAAGTCCATCTGCGATGAGGCGAGTGGTGGGGAGTGGGCGTGGGGTCTTCAGTTCTGCCTGGAGCAGGATGCAGCGTGCTGCACAGCAGCAGAGTTGGCCAGAGTATTGCTCCTCTAGTCTTCCTTAGCCTGGTGCCCTGGCTGGCCGAGGAGGTGATGGGAGTTGTAGTCCATCACAGCTAAAGGGTATGAGGTGGCAAAGGCTAGCTTGCTCAATTTCGCCTTGGATGACTGGCTGTAGATTCACATTCCTCCTTTTGGGGTGCAGACCTTGCATGCTGGCTTACTGGGCAGCCTGTGAACATGAGCCATGGTTCCTAGTAAAACAGTAGGAGGAGAGGAGAGGAGAGGAGAGAATTCTTGACTGGTCAGTTGGATCTGCAAAGAACTGAGCAGCAGCTAAAACCAGATGCCAGGTAGAATTGTGAGAACCCATTTAAAAAATGTCAAGCGGAACAAAACATTTTTCAAGTCTTAAAAATCACTGAAAGTGTGTGTTGGGGGGATGCTTGCTTGCTTCCCGAAGAAGAGGCCTTGCCCTTGGTGTCCACACATTGTCCTTGTCGTGGAAAGCTGGAAAGCAGGCAGCTCTTCCACTCCTCTGATTCTGGATCAGTGCAGCACCTCTCATGGAGCTGGTCAACCACCTCGTAGTCAAGCAGTTTGTGTATTCACGGTGCTTTCTGCCCAGAATTCTGTACCAGCTGAAGCTGCTGGGCTGACTTCAGCAGCCACCTACTTCAAAAGTGTTCTGGTAGCTTACCCTGGGCACAGATGAAGATTGGTGTAACTGAAGCCTGCTGCTCCACTTTCTCCAAGTGGCTTAGCAGCTCTCGTAGCCCGGTAATGAATTAAAGTGGGTCAGATGGAAGGACCATCAGGCAGATCTACAGCTGGCTACAGAACTAGGCTCGGTGCTTCTCAGAGGGACATTCTCAGACTGGGGAGAGGTCACAAGTGCAGTATCACAAGGCTCAGTCCTGTGTCCAGTGCTCTTCGACATCTTTATTAATGACTTGGATGGTGCCGAGAATGCTGATCAGATTTGCAGATGACACAAATCTGGGTGGGGTAGATAATACCCTGGAAGATAGGCAGACATCAAAGTTGAGAGGTTGGAGTGCTGAGCTGAGAGCAGCAGAATGAAATTCAAGAACAATGCCAAGTTCTGCACCCAGAAAGAGGGAATCAAGTGCACAGTTAAAAAATGGGAGATACTAGACTCACAAATACGGCAATGAGAAGGATGATGGCATTGTCGTAGATCACAAGTTGAATATGAGTCAACAATGTGATGTGGCTGTGCCAAAAAACCAAAGCAAAGCAAAGCTAATGCTGTATTGGGCTCCCTTAATAAAGCATAGCTTGCAAATCACATGAATGCTGGTTCTTTTCCATTGGGCCCTAGTTAGGTCCCATCTGAAGCACTGCGTTCCATTCTGGGCGCTGCACCCAGAACAGATCCGGGAAAACTGGAAGGGGCTCAGAGAGGGCAGCATGGCTGATAAGGGGGCCGGACACAAAGCCATATGGTGAGAGACTGGGAGAAGTGGGCATGTCGCGCCTTGGAAGAGAAGGTTGAGAGGAGATAGGACAGCACTCCATGAGGGCTTGAGAGGCTGTTGAAGGAGGCGGATCGGATCGCTTCTCTCTCATGCCAGAGTGCAGGGCGTGGCATAATGGGGTCAGTTTACAAAGAGGCAGCTGCTGCTGGGCATCCAGAAATGTTTCCTGGCTGTAATACAGCCCTGGAACCAAGACGTGGGAGGTGGGGGGCTCCCGCGCTGGAGGTATTCGGGATGCAGCTGGACGGCCCTCTGGCAGGGTGGCTGAACTGAGAGTCCTGCCCTGGGCAGGGAGCTGCACTCGACGGCCCTCTGGCCCCTTCCAGCTCTACCGTTCTGTGATTCTAGCAGGCTGCAGCCCTGGCTGCCTCCTACTGAGACCCTTGGGATCGCTGGGCTTTGCACCTGGGAACTTTTGCACACAACACTCCACAGGAGCCTTCCTCACTGGCTGTGTCACCGATGCCCCACAAACGGGGAGCTCCAGTGAGCGGGGTGGCGCAGCCGTGCTGGGCTCATTGTCTCTCTTTCTGTCCCCTCCAGCTCCGCAATTTGGTCACAGACCCCTCGCAGTACAAGCTGCTGATCTTTGCCGGGCCCTGCATTGAGGAGACGGGGGAGCTGGTGCTGCAGACGGGCACCTTCTCCCTGCGGGACTTCATCCAGATCTTTGCTGACAAGGAGGTGTGTTCCCCATCCTGCGTCTTAGGGACTCCTACACAGGACTGAGCTTGCCCTGCAGCTGTGTCCCTGACCCGGCTACCTGGCATTGAGCTTGTGGGTAGCAGGGCAGGTCCAGGATGAGCTGGTGGGGGGGGGGGCGTGTGCTGAGTAGGGCCACAGCACTCTCTGAACATCCCAGGACCTTGTGTCTGCCCCTCTGAGGTTAACACACTTCTGGTTGTGGGGTGGGACTCTGGTGGTGGAAGGAACAGCAGTAGGGGTCATTCCACACACATAGGACCCATCCCCTCCTGGACACGGTTGCATTCAGCCAGCGTGCCGCTGTAGCCCTCAGCTGCAGTTGGAAGGAGATGCCCTAGCCAGTGGAAAGCCATGCTTATGGCTAGTCTTCCCTTCCCCCAGCAGTGGCTTCCCTGTCTTCAGCTCAACAAGGCTTAGCAGAAGGCTGGCTTCCTAGGGCAGCCCCTGCATGAGAGCAGTGGTCTTCACGCTTTCCTTAGCAGAAGTTTGTTTGCTTGGGGGACTGTCAACTGGGGGCTAACGGGGGCTTCCCCGAGGACTTGGAAGGCTTTTCTTTTCTCCCCTGCTCCCCACTAATGCTTCCTAGGCCTTTTATCTCCACATCATCCAGCCAAGGTTGCCTCACTCAAGTCACCAGGCAGGCGGATTCCACGAGGCCATTTTTCTTCTCATTGAGTCACGCTCCACTCTAGTCCCTGAGTAGGCCCACCTGGTCCTCTTGCCTGCATGCTTCCCTTCCCTTGCTCTCTAGGCCTGCCAGGTGCACCATGTTGGTCTTTGCCTACTGGGCACTCCCTGCAGCTCACCTTCTGTTAAGGAGGACTGGCTTCCAGACCCTACCTTGCCCTGCCGACCAGCTCATTGCTGCAGCAAAGGCAGCAGCAAAGTGAAACTGAGCAGTTGCTGAGGGAGGAGAGGGCACTGGGAGAGGGGTAGAGCTGTGATGGAGATGATTGTGAGCCTCCAGGAGGAAGGGAGAAAAGAAAAGCAGTGGTGGGCGTGCTTTTTGGCCGTGCTTGGCTGGACCTCGGTGCCTGCCAGATGACTGAGGCTGATGGGGGCTACCAACTCCCAGGTCAGGCGGGACGGAGCTTGGTAGCTGCGTTCTTACTCCTCCTCGTGTTTCACTCTCCCTCCAGGTCGGAGAGCTACTCAGCTGTGCAGATCCCTCTACCAAGACCAGCCTGACTGTGGTGTGTCCAGACTTTGGGGAATGGAAGGCTTCCAGACTGGGCCAGCACAACCTGCTGGACTTCATTGACCTGCGCTTCAACCCGGGCTGTGTGCTGCCAGAGATGGAGGGCCTGCAGGAGTTCCTGGAGTACCTCTTCGAGTCCCTGGATCCCCAGTCACCTTTCGATCTCCTGGAGCCACCAAACACCGTGGGCTTCCTGAAGCTCTCCAGGCCCTGCTGCTACATTTTCCCAGGAGGGAGAGGCGACTCTGCTTTCTTTGCTGTGAACGGCTTCAACATCTTGGTGAATGGGGGCTCCAACCCCCGGTCATCCTTCTGGAAGTTAGTGCGCCACCTGGACCGCATCGACTCCATCTTGGTGACCCACATGGGGACTGACAGTCTCCCCGGGGTGAACAGCCTGCTGCAGAGAAAGCTTGCTGAGATGGATGAAGACCCTTCCTCTCACAGCTCCCTGAATGATGACTGGGTGAAAAGCCTCATCTCACCAGAGCTGGGTGTGGTTTTCATCAATGCTTCGGAGAAGCTGAAGGGCATCAGAGGGGATTCAGGCATCCTGAAGAGTTGTGACGAGGCCAGCTTAGCTCTACAGTACCTCGACAGGCTGGGCATCCGGCCCCACCCGCTCTTCCGGGAGGCTGCCCCCAAGGCAGAGCCAACCATCCTCTTCCAGAAGATGGGCGTTGGGCGCCTGGACATGTATGTGCTGAACCCCGTGAAAGGCAGCAAGGAGTTGGAGTTCTTGATGCAGCACTGGTGCGGGAACGGCTGCCCCCGGGGGCTGGAGCTGCCCTTGCAGTGCCTGACCTCCATCTGTGTTCTCCTGGTGTGGCACCCCGTGAGCCCCACAGAGAAGATTGTGCGGGTCTTGTTCCCGGGCTGCACACCCCAGGGCAAGATCTTGGAAGGGCTGGAGAAGGTCAAGCACTTGGAGTTCCTCAAGCATCCCATGGTCACCCAGAAAGACCTTGAGTCGTTCTCATCTTCTGCCTCTCAATTTAAGCCGAAAAAGGCAGTCAGTCAGGAGAGCCTCCAGTCGGGCTCTCGACTGAGCCTCACAGAGATCAGTGCACCTATTTCCAAGGAGAAGAGGTTGCCGAAGCTGCCCAGCTCCCGAGACCGACCCAAGGCACCCAGTGAGACCTCAAAGGGTAGTGCTGAGGAAGAGAGAGCTAAGACGGAGGCTTCCCCAGAGAAGCTTAAGCAGGATGTGAGGCCCAAGCAGTTGAAGGAGAAGCTGCCTGTGAGGAGGGACCTGAGGAAGCCAATGCCAAAGGAGGACACCACTCAAGAGAAGGGTGCAGTGAAGGAGGGGAAGCCAGCCAAGCAGGAATGGAAGGTGGATCCCCCCAGGAGGGAGGGGCTAAGGAGAGAGGAAGCTGTGAAGGCAGAAGAGAAGGCAGCAAAGCAGCCGATGAAGGACCTGCGTAGAGCCCCAGGGGCGGAGGCCAAGAGGCCCCCAGCCAAGATGAGCAGTCTCAGGAAGGTCACTCCCACCCCGAAGGAGGCAAGCAAACTGAAGGCTAAGTCGGTGAAGGAAACCGTACTCCAACGGCCGAGCGGCACCAAGGGAGGCCTGTTGGGTAAGCCTGTGCCAGAGAACCGTGGAGGCCTTGCCACATCCAGGAAGGGGTTGGAGCCTTCGTTGCTGGGCAGTGCGGCATGTCATGGCAATGTGCTGGAGCACCCCCAGAATGGTCTCACTGCAGGAATGGATCCTGAGAGCCCTCAGCCTTTCCGGCACAAGGAAGCCAGCTCTCCCCTCAGAGGCTTTGGCCCTCCATCCCCGTTGGCCAAGACTCCAAAGAGCGACCGGAGTGTCGATTTTGAATTCACACCAACAGACATCCAGGTGGGGCTCAACCACTTCCCGGAGGCTGAGGAACCTTGTGGTGGCGGTAGCTCTGAAGAGAAGACCCTGGAGATGATGTCACCCGCCAGCTCTGCCCCAGCCAGTGCCAAGCACACTCCGTTCCACCAGTCCCCGGTAGAAGATGCTGTCATGGTTGAGGAGCCAGCGGCCATGATAAATGCCTGGCGGCCTGACAGATCTGGTCCCCAGGCCTCCCATGACAACTCTAGCTCTTCCCAGGAGAAGCCGTCGGGCGGCCTTTCCCCTAGCCTCTTCCGTGATGACGTCCCTGATGTGTCCCCCACCATCACCACACCCTCCTTGCCAGCTGAAGTGGGGTCTCCTCACTCCACGGAGGTGGACGAGTCCCTCTCCATCTCCTTCGAGCAGGTGCTGCCTCCAGTGAGCGAATTCCCTCAAGAAGAAGCAGGGAACATCCGGGCGGCACACCTCACCCCAGAGCCAGACGTCGCTGTGGGCAAAGCAGGGATGTCTCTGCCCATCCGGCCCTGTCACCCTCACCCTGGCACCCAGCGGTGGGATGGCCACACGGTGCCCAGGTCTGGCTACCGATCCGACTCCCCCCACGATGTGGATCTCTGCCTGGTGTCGCCGTGTGAGTTTGCACACCACAAGTCGGAGAGGTCTCCGTCGATCAACGTCAGCCCCCGCGACGTGTCCAACAGCAGTGACTTCTCACAAGAGCTGGCCAAGCCCTCCGTGCACTGGAAGGGTCTGCGGGGCCAGAAGCTGCACCCCCTGGCCGATGAGACCCCCCCCACCTCCTTCAGCGAATCTCTGCCCACTCTCTCGGACTCTGATGCGCTGCCTGCCATGGAGGAGTACCCTTCCAGCCCAGTGGAGGGTGGGCTGGACTCGGATGATGATCCAGAAGGCCTGGCCCGGGCTCGGGACCCACTGCCGCCCCCCCTGAAGGACCCCTGTCCTCTCCCTGCCCAGCCTGGGATCTGCATGGTGGACCCTGAGAGAGAAGGTGCAGCCAAGATGAAGTGGATGCCCCTGCGGGTGGGCTCTGCACCCCCTAAAGCAGACATCCCCAAAGCCACTCCTGCCCGCGGCAGGGCCAAGCCTTCTTCAGCAACGATGGCGGAAAGAGCCCGCTTGCGCACCCTTGGCAAAAGTGACCCTTCGGTGGCCTGTGCTGGGGGTGACAGTAAGACAGCCCTCCATCATCGCGGGATGAACAACAGACCACTCCTGCGAGCTGACCGGTCATCTCTGGCAGGTAACGTCGCCTTCCCTTGGCCCTGTGGTGAGGCAGGTGGATGGCTGGGACCCCAGGGAGAGGGTGGGGACCTGGGGGTGAGCAGTGGTAGCGATCTCCTGGCCAGCTGTTGGATTACTGGGGAGGGCGGAGGGTGGTCCCTTGAAAATGGCAGCAGGAAGGCCACTTGGTGTGCCCTTATTGTCTGCGAGGGCAGCTGCCTTCAATTAAATGGATCTGGGATGTGTCCTCAGTCAAGAGAGCAGCCATTTTATTAACAATTCTTTCTACCCAGACACTTACCAAGCAGTGCGAGTGGAGGTGGGCAGGAAAGGTGGTACTTGCAGGTTGGAACTCTGGTCCATGGACCTCAGTATCATCTGTTCTTTCCAGTGTCTCTGGCAGAATGAGAGAGTTTTCCAGTCTCCTGTTGCCTCATATTCTTGAACTTGGGGCCATCAGTGTGTTGCTACTGAGCTATATTTCAAATCCTTCTTTCTCCTCCAAATAAAACAAGTTTCCAGACTTCATTGTTCTGAATAAAAGGCTGGTTTAAATAGGAATATAGAAAGCTGCCTTATACTGTCTCATATTCTTGGTCCATGTGGCCCAGTATTGCTGACACCGACTGGCAGCAGCAGCTTTTCAGGGATTCAGGCAGGGGTCTTTCCAGGCCTCACTGGAAAAATTGAATCTGGGACCTTCCAGCACAGGAGCGCTGCAGGTAAGCATTGGCTCTTTAGCCTATACACATTTTAAAATAAACCATGACTCATTCCCCACCCTCCACAGAAGGTCTGCTTTTAAAATCATGGGTTTGCCAAACAGCAGGTTTGCTTTAAGTAGGCATTGGTTCTGCTTTTTTTTCTGGAAACCTGAGCTATTTCATGAGCACACCTTGCAGTCTCCCATCCAGCTGCAGCACAGTTTCACCCTTGGTTAACTTCAGATTATTGTCAGGGCCTTGCTTGGTGCCTTCAGGGTTGGCTGTGTGGCGCCTGTCCTGTGGAACATTTGCCCTCCCTGATTATCTTGGAAGGGCTGAGGCGCGTGGTGGTCAGCTTGGACTTTTATATTGCAGCATATTGTTTAGGGATGCAGGTGGCACAGTGATTTAAACTGCTGAGCTGCTGTGCTGGTTGATCGAAAGGTCGCCGGTTCATGTCTGCACAAAGGGGTGAGTTCCTGTTGCTCTGTCCCAGCTCCTTTCAGCCTTGCAGCTCAAAAACATGCAAATGCAGGTAGATGAAAAGGTGCCACTTCGGTGGGCAGGTCACAGCGTTCCGTGCACCTCGGTGTTCAGTCATGTGGCCACGGAGACCGTCTGCGGACAAACGCTGGCTCCTCGGCCAGGAAACGGAGATGAGCATCATCCCCCTTGGGTCAGGCATGACTGGACTTCATGTCAAGGGGAAACCTTTACCTATATTGTTTAACTGTCAGTGCTCTTTTAACCGCTGGCTTTCTGATTGAATGGATGCACCTTAGGTGAATTTCTTATTTTCAATTTGTCTATGATTTTTTTAATTGTGTGCACAGCCTCAAAGCAGCCAAATAGCTCTTAAACATAAGTGCAATGATCCAAATACATTTTTAAATCAAAGTTGTTGCTGGGCATAATTCTTACATGTGTTCCCCTTTAATGAGCATTTTAAACTCATGTTTACACATACTTTAGCCTGTCTTAAGTTCTTCCCACACCCTCCCCAATGAAAAAGTAATGTTACCTACTGTGCATTGTCTCCACTGTAGGTATTAAATTAGTTTAATACTGTTTTATGGAATATGTAAGTGCAGCTGCCACTTAATTAATCCACAAATGACCAAAATTGAGTCTTGCACTTCCACTTTCAGTTCATATTCCATTGTTGCCCGATTCAAGGTGTGATATCTGAAACCTGAGCACTCTTGTTTGTTTAGGGAGTTAAACAGCCCAGAGATACCCAACAATAAGCCATGGACTAATTGACCCAGGATTGCTGTTCTGTGTGAACTGTGTCATAGCTCTTGCTATTCCTTTTCCTCCTGAGTTTTGCAGCAGCTTTGTGACAATAGCATTATTTCAGTCCGTTGTCCTCTGAAAGTGCTGGAATGCAATGTCTGACCATCCTGGCCAGGTTGCCAGGTTGTGGGGAGCAGTCTCTGGCCTGTCCTGGCTAAAATGCAGTGAAGATGCAGCCATGGGAATGCTGGATGCCTAAATGTGGCAAGGGATCCCTCCGCAGGCTGGCAGGGCTGCAGGAACCCTGGCCCAACATCTCTCAGGCGCCAGTGTCAGCTTGCCAGGAATTCTGCGGCACAATTGGAGGTGGGTGGAGGAATGCGGGACAGCCCCTTCTCTGGCTTATCAGGCAGGGCTGACTGAGCCAATCTTGCTGGGTAGAAATGGCCCACCAGAGTGGCGGGAGGGACTGTTTCTCTCTAGAAAGAAACTTGAAAAGTGGGCAAGCCTGCTGAGAAACATAGACACACAGTGTATACACCAGAGCCTTGGCCTGTTCACCCTCCCAAGCCAGTAGTTCTGCTTGCATGGAGCAACTGGCTCTGGGGTCTTTTCTGGGCCCGAATGGCCTCCAGCAAGATGTTTCCTCTCCCAAAACCTCAGTGTGAGCCTCCTTCCACAATCAGAGGCCCCCTCAGAGCTGCTTCCTGTGCCTCTATCTCTTTGAGAGGGAACAGCGGGTCGGTGGGTGAGACTTGGTCACTCAGTTTCTCATGACTCTCTGGTCTGGCATCGCACTGCATAGCCCTGGGCTTATTCTGTGGTCGAAGGGCTTGGGCAGGGGCTGCTCTCCTGGAAAGCCCTGGGAACTGCCACCGGCCAGGGTAGTCCACAGGGATTGACGGGCCGGTTGTCTGTTTCGTGGCCCAGAAGCGTCTTCCGTTTGGCGGCTCCTAAAGACTGCAGAAGGTTCCTGGACCCTTTTCAGCTGGTTGTGTTCTGCTGTTCAGCTGCCTGTTTCAGTTCTCTGCTCTGCCCGTTTCTCCAGGCCCCAAAGCCCGCCTCTCGTGCCCCCCAGTCTACCTGGAGCTGGCTTACATCCCTGGTTCCACGAGTGCCCAGTGGGTGGATGAGGACTTCTTCCGGGTCATCCGCTCCCAGTGCTACGTCGTCAGTGGCGAGGACCACATCAAGGAGGGCGTCATGAGGAACATCCTGGATGCTCTCCTGGCTGGGAAGCAGCAGTGGGCCACTGACATCCAGGTGGGGCCAGAAGGTGTGGTGGGGCGGTAAGAGTGGATTGGTTGAGTTCACGGAGGAGCAGAAGGCTGGCCGTGGATGCTGGTCCCGACGGTGGAGTGCTGCCTCTGGCACTATGGGCAGCCCTCCAGGGCATGAGAAGCGGGGCCTGCAGCACTCGCTTGCTGCTGCTGCTGCCCTCCCTGTGGGGTCATCCGGGTGACCACCGTGTGCTCAGGACATGCAGCAAGACGCCTGCTTTGCATGCTCCTTGGGCTTGCCCTTCCATTACACAGCCATGTGATGAAAAGCACGTTCAGGTTCTTGACTTTGGCACAACACAAGTTCTGCCTTATGTCTGGTATGAAAAGAGTGCACCTCGGTATTTCATTGGCTGCATTCAAACAATATAGACATCTAGTCTGACCCCCAGCTTCAGCTGGCTCTGCTCACCAATCTCCAGCATGTGGGTGTCCAATCTTTCTTTGAACACCCTCACTGATGGGGCCTCCACCATCTCTGGAAGGCCATTTCATATCATGGGGGTCCTAACTGTCAGGAAGGACTTCCTGGAATCCAACCTGAAGCCTGGTTCTTTGAGCTTAGCCCCATTGGAATGCATCCTTTCCGCAGGGGAGAACAGGTCAAAACCCTGCACCATGTGACACCCCCTCACATACCTGCACGTCGCTATCAGATCCCCTTGGAGTCTCCTTTTCTCCAGGCTGAAGAGACCCAGCTCTCTCAATTTCATCTCATATGGCATGTCTCCTAATCCAGCTACCATCCTTGTGACCCTGCGCTAAACTGATCCCAACCTTGGTATTTCTCTCTTGTAATGTGGAGCCCAGAATTGGACACATGCCTCCAGCTGAGGGCGCACCAGAGTCTTAGAGTGGTATCAGCACATCTTTAGATCTGAAAGCCATGCTTCTGGCTATACATCCAAGGGTGGTGTTTGCCCTCTTGACCACCGCATCGCACTGCTGTTTCATGCTTAGCCTGCAGTTGACCAGCACCCCGAGGTCCCTTTCACAAGTGCTGCTCTCCAGCTGCTTGTCCCCCATCCTGTACCTGTGACACCTATTCCTGTGTCCCAAGTGCAAGACCTGATACTTATGCACATGGAACGCCATCCTGTTGCCTCCTGCCCACTTCCACAGCCTGTCTGGATCCTTTGGATCTGGAGTGCTTGGCCCTCCATTGTGGCTGCCAGCGCCACTTTAGTATCATCCACAAATTTATTCTGTGGACTAGCTATCCCCTCCTCCGGGTTATTGATAAAAGGCCTTCTCCAGGTGAGATGTTAGTCTGCAGAATGATGAGGAGTTGAGCCCCAGGTGTGTGACTTCCAACCCCCCTTCCCTATCTAGGATTTCTACTTTCCCTATTACGAGCTTTTCCATTGTGTTTCCCAGAATTGGACATAAGGCCAACTGGCCTGTAATTCACCTTGTCCCTTCTGCTGCTGCTCTTGAAGATTGGGACCATTGACGCCACCCTCTAATCCTCTGGAACTTCACCCGTTCTCCACGAGGCCTCAAAAATGAAGGGCAACAGATGCAAGAGAACCTGTACCAATTCCTGAAGTACCTTTGGGTGCAACCCATCAAGACCTGGCACCTCTGTAATATCCGGGGTCCTGAGGAGCTCATCAGTTTATAGGGGACTGACTACAGCCTGTGCTCCTATAACCCCAACCTCATCTGGCCTGCCAGGCACATGTCCCCCAACCTGCTTTGAGGAGAATACAGTATCAAAATAATCATTTAACATCTGTCCCCTTTCTCTTACTATTTACATAAGAATAGAAGCCCTTTTATTGCTCCTGACAGCAAAAGTCTCAGCTCATAATCAGCTTTACGCTTGTGAAGCGTCTTTCTGCATCGAGCCACCTCCTCCTTGTATGCCTCCTTTCCTCAGTTGCTCAGTGTCCATTTCCTGTGGAGATCCTTTTTACATCTAATCCCTCTTACCACCTCTCTGCATTCATGGCATCTTTTGTACCTCCCTGATTTGCTGATCTGCAAAATTGTTAAGGTTTCCACCTCCAAGACCAAACTTCTTAGTGCCGCCCTCAATTGACCTAAGTTGGTCCTTGTGAAGTCCCAACTCCTAGTACTTGACCACTCATTCCTGATCTCAAAGCAGAGGATGGAGCGGTCCCTCCCACCCAGGGTTCCCCTAGTCTGTACATCCCCCACCAGATTCTCCCTGTTGGTTGAAACTAGGATGTTTCATCCCCCTTGTTGCCTCCTGGACACCCTGGGTGAAAAGCCCTCCCTCTATTGCTTCCAGGAAGTGACAGGACCCAGCTGCCACTCCCGAGTGCATCTCCTAACTAGTAACAGGAAGGTCGAACTCTCCCATCGTAACCGTGTCCCTTCCCTGGGATATCCTTCGGAGCATCGTCCGGGGTCTCAAGTTGACCCGGTGGGTGATAACATACCCCCCACTATCAGCTCCCACCCCGTCTAGACCCATCAGTCATACGCAGATCGCCTCCACTGGGTCCGCTTCTACCCGCCCCCATCGCTCTGCACCCTATCCCTTCCCTGTCATATAGCAGAGCCCCCCCTTCCCCTCCTGTCCTTCCTAAACAGAGTCTATCCCTCTACGCTGACATTCCAGCCCCGCTTTGCATCCGCACCATGTTTCCGTGATCCTCTCTAGGTCATACCCACCTGTTCGCAGGAGAGCCTCTGGCTCTTCTTGCGCATATCCCGTGCTCATAGTGTTGGTGTACATACATCTCCGCTCTTTCCTGCAAATCCCATTCCCTGGCTCCCTAGCAACCCTGCACGATTGCCACAGCTTGTAACCCAACAGACGAGCAGGAGGTCGCCACCCTCCCTTCGGAGTCCTCCTGCTGTTGGCAGGTATCCCATGAGCCACTGCTCCTGATATTCAGCCCCAAAGTGCATCACTTCCTGCCTGCATCCGTACATAGAGGCTGGCTGGCGCTGCCCCTGCACTCGCAGCTCTTTTGAGGGGACTGGTGGTTGCGTGCCAGGACCATGGAAGCCATGATTTTGTGTTGAAACAGCAGGGCAAGTTGTGGTGGTTGAGAAACAGCAGGGCAAGTTGAGAAAAACCATTATTCTTTATTGTGATTTCTAAGGATCACACTTACCATGATGAAATACCACATCTACATTTTAACAGCATGACAATAAAAAGTCATGTTGTCGGAACACAGCCATTGAGTAGTTCTGTTATTGTTCCCCTAGACTTAAAAATGTAGCATTTAGGGAAATTATCTATTGCATATTTGAAATTTTAGAATTGTGGGACAGAAATAGGAATTGAAATCCAGAGTTTTCTGTCCTTCCATTTTGAACAAATTTCAGATGGGTGGCAGCAGCCATAATTTTGAAATACTCAGCTTGTTGTAATGCTTTTGACTAGATCAAGGCCTTTGGCCCAGATTGTTTCTGGCAAGAAAGTCTTTGTCTGTCTTTTCTAGTCATTGATGATGGTCAGCTCACACCTGTGTCAAACCACAACTGAATGCAGCGCTAGAAAGCAGCATGCCAAATCTTGTTTTTAATTTGCACAAATTTGCTTAGTTTGGTCTCATTCTGTTCCCATGATTTAAGTTGGTGTGCCATGTCTGGAAAGGAGCTCCAAATACTTAAAAGGCACAAATTGGCAAAGGCCTGGAGAAGCTTCCTAGCTTTCACAGCTGCAATGAGAACTAGCAGGTTGCTTGTACACTCTTCTGAACAGATAAAAGCTGAACATCTGTGGCTGCCCCATTCGTTGTACTGTTTGCAGTGGGCCTGCTTTCTTGGCTCCATTCTTTCTCTTGTACCTCTGCCCCATTCTGGAGAAGTTTCTGTGGGCTGCACTCTGTTGGTGTCTGGGACCAAAGGCAAAAGGTGTGTGGCCTTTCAAACTAGGACCCCCCCCCCCCCAAAAAAAGCTCCCAAAACAAAACCTACTGAGGTTTCATGCTCTTACATTGGAGGAGAGAGGTAGGCCAGCTCCGCCTTTGAAGCCAGGAGGGGTGAGGTGTGAAGCCTGGGAAGCCACGAAAGGGGCCACAGCTGGGGCAAAGGGTGCAGCCAGGGAATGCAGGTGTGGCCACAGGGGGGCGCCAGAGGCATATTTGGCCCACAGCCCTAGAAATGTCGTGCTGGCTGGGGAATGGTGGGAGTTGGGCTCCCTTGCTAGAGGGGTGCAGGAGGGCCTCGTTGGCTTTCTGGCGCTGGCAGTCGAGGGAGCAGGGCAGCTGCAGACACGGCTTACCACCACGGCTTACCACCAAGGCTTACCCTTCCCTTCTCTCATCGTTCTCAGGTGACCTTGATTCCCACGTTTGACTCGCTGGCGATGCACGAATGGTACACGGAGACGTTGGAGAGGCAGCAGGCGCTGGGTGTCACTGTCCTCGGCAGCAACAGCACGGTGGCCATGCAGGATGAAACCTTTCCTGCATGCAAAGTGGAGTTCTGAGCAGCCCTGTGAGCTGCTCGTGAGTTGGGAGGTGCTTTGAACCCAGGGATAGGGTCTGGAGAAGGTGCCGCCACCACGCTTCCTCAATCTTGCTCTCCTCCTTTCTCCTGGCAGAAGGAAAGGCGTCCATCTTTGGTGTGGCCCATGAGTTGTGCTTTGCTCCTTGAGTGCCGGATGAGCGGGCCCCTGCCTCCTTGCTCCTGAGAAGCACGAGGACAGAGACCTTCCGGAGACACCTTTCAGTCCCTGCAGCACCTGCCCCTCCACTGCTCATCTGGCTTGTTTGCATGTCACCCGGCGCAAACACAGAGAGAGTTGGGCAGATGACTTGGAGAGGCAGCCGCTGGGCTGGGCTGCCCTGAAGCCATTCTGCCCAACTCTTCTCCATCCCCTCTTGTTCCAAGTATTTCTCTGCCGTCCGTCTTCACCTGACCTCGAGGGCCCGCAGTAGTTGGGGTTGGTCTTGTCATCCAGAAAATCTTCCCTGGGAAAATGCTGTACAGTTCATCTGCTGCTCCAGCTTGTGGCAGTGACCCTGTTTCTGGAAACCAAAACTGGGATGTCGGGTGCAGGATGTGGGGAGCTGAGGGTGGTTGTGTTGTGCATCTTTTGCTGCTGGGCCGCTGCAGGGAGAAATGCCTCGGGTTCTTGAAATCTCTTTTCTTGGTCCCTGCCTCCACAGTTAATTTCTTAGTTTTGTTTGGCAGAATAAGGTCTCTGGGGTGGACCCTGTGAACCAGAGTGGGTGCCTGGCTCGTTTCTAAGATGGAATTCCAGTTGATCTGTTCCCATTTGGGCCTGTTTAGCCTTTGAAGATTTTGCAAAGCAGTTTCCCTTAACAGCCTGCCTCAGCCGGTAACCTTCAAGTGTGCCAACTGCAGCTCCCTGGATCCCTGCTGGGCCAGGTAATGCAGCCTGACACAACTGGAGGTAGCATGTTTTCTGGCCTCACTGATGTCACTTTTTGCTTTTTCTTCCTTCTACCCCATACTAGGAAAGAGGTGTGAGATGGGTTTCCTCAAGAGCAAGCCAGGAGCTTTTCCTTGCCCTTGGCCACTTGAATAGCCTCTTCCTGGAGGCGGTGATCTTGATCGGAAGGCTCTGCTTGCCGCCATTGCCCTGGTGGTGGCGGAATGTGTGTCTCCTGATTCTAAATGGTGTGTTGCCTTCCTGCCCCAGTAATTCACTTGTTTTCAGTTGTATCTGTTTGCAGGACCAGCATCACATCTTCCCTGGATAACCGTTTGTACAACTAGGAGTTCCTTCCTATACTCTTCTTCCAGTCCCACCAAAACACAAACTCCAGATTTTTTCTACCTCTTTTATGTTGAGAGTAGTCCTTGTTTCTTGGGCAGTTGTCCCCGAAGAATAGTCCTATGAGAACCCAGCCAGGGCTTTCCTAGGTGCATTCCTTAGATCTTTACGCCTCCTCCCTTACCATTTGAAGGAAAGTTGGAAGAGGGGAGCTTCCCTCCTCCTTTGCAATGTGACACTAAACCTTTGTTTTATGAGTAAAGAAAAGATTTTTTTTCTTCTCCTTAAATGTCTATTTTGTATTTTTTTCTAAAAAAAAAAAAAATGAAAAAGGAGAAACCAAAATTTGTTAATGTATTGAAGGTGTTTAATTTATACAGTCACATTTTTGTGCAGTGTTTACATATCCCAGATGGAGAAAGCGGACGGAAGGAAGGGGGTGTGGGTGTTACACTTTCGCCTGTACATGATTCCCACCTTGCCTGGCCCCATCCTTCCTCCCTAATTTGGGATCAGCCTTTTGTTTCATACTTGTAATGATGTATGTTTAGGAAAAAATATTTTTGGGAGGTGGCGAAAGATATGAATGTTTTCACCACCTTTAGTGCTTTATATACTTTGCCTAGTTGAAATCCTAAGCAGATTGGAGGTAGGAGAAAGGTTAGTCCTTCCCCTGGAGAATTCCTCTTTAGTGGGGGGTGGGGGGGGCCAAGTCCTTTTCTCTGTGCTCTGTCTCTTGGCCCCAATTACAGGGGAAAAAAGATGGTTGTTGTAGCTGTCAACACACTCACGATGTTGTGTGTGCACACATACACTGTGTTGAAACCTATTGGAAAAAAAAAAAACATTAAAGAGAACAGTAAGCTCGATGAGATTCTGTGTTGTTTTCTTTGGGCCTCACTTGACACTTCCCTTCTGCCTCCAGTTCAACTTAGTGACCACCAGCCCCGGTGCTCATGTGTGAGGAAGGTGCCCCGTCCAGTCCCCAGGTGCTTCCCAGGTGCCTGCTCCCTTTTCCCTGCAGCCATCTCAGGCTACAAAGAATGTCTTTGTGGAGCGTGACATCAAAGCAGGAAGAGCAGCCTTATATTTCTATTCTGTTGCCCCCCTGACAACAGAACTGTAACTTAGCAGTCATGAGGCCTAGAAATTCAAAACTTGTGGCATGATTTTGAATTTGGCACCTAGCGCCTCTTTCATTGCACCCTTCCGAGCTCTTACCTCCCTGGTTCTCTGCTGCTCTTGCCCTGCAGGGCAAAGCAGTGTCCATTTTGCTTTGGGCTGTGGCTGAGTTTGTCATTCCAGGCATGCCCCCCTTTCTTGGCCCTGCACAGCATCTAAAGAATGACAGTTGGTCCTATTTCAAGGCCAGCCTCTCTCCCTGCCTTTGCAACTGTTGGAGAATTATCCAGAAGAGCCCTGGAGCTGCACAAAGGATAATCAAGGAATCTCCCCATCACACACACATTTTCCTCAAAAGAGTGAAATGCAACCCACGTAATGAAGATGTGGCTGGCTCGCTCACTGCTCACAGGGAAAGGATAGTGGGAAAGGCTCTGCGTAACAGCCTAATGTGCAGAAAGTGTTTCATACTAGCTCATTCCCCCACTTCAGTGTTGAGCAATTCACACTGTGCACCCCAGAGGGCCCTCACCTTTCTCCTTGCCTCTCGGGGGGAATCTGGTTTACAAGGAGGGCCTGCATGCAGATAGTCCTGGGTTCCAGTAAGCAGGGGATGAAGGGACACCCATCTCTACCTGGCTGGTGACCCAGGGCATTGAATCAGAAAAGGTAATGTTGGGTTACAGGGATCAGATGTAATTGTTGTTGGTCGCAGGAAGCTTCATGGGAAGATCTAGAAGGGACTTTGTTTCCCTCTGTCTGTCTGAAGGGGCCACTAACCAAACTCGCGCAAGGTAAGGATACCGGCCTCCCTCCATGATGGCTGCAGGCTGAGGTGGCCATCACAAAGGTCAAATGCATTTGTAGGCTGGGGGTGTTTCGAGAGGATTGGGGGCAGGAAGGCGTGTGCAATTGTTGCCCCCCCCCCACATCATCCCATGGTGGGTTAGATGGGCTGTGAGCCTTGTAGAACATTCACTCGTTTGCTGGTTTCTGAGGAAGACAAAAACCATCTCAGTCTCCAGAGAAGATTCTCAATGCATTTTCATAATGGTTTTATCTATTTAAGTGTTTGCATTTGGGGGCTTTAATGGCTGCGGTGGGGGGTGGGGGACTGGTGCCGCAGATGTTCTGTTCCCCCGCACACATCCCTAATGACAAACCATCATTTCAGGCTAGATTCCTGCAAGAGACACAGCTGTGCTTTGGGTATCTCCCTCTTTATTTTTTTGAAATAGGTGGACAGACATTGCACAATTGGAGCAGCACGGGACAGAGTAAACTGGTTGCCATGGCAACAGCCAGAGTAAAGGTATGGATTCAGGAGTGACTAATCCAGCAAATAGGACCTCTTTCCCTACTGATCCTTTGTTTTCTCTTGGAAATCTTGGGTGGCAATTGAATTGGGTTTCCTAAGAAGAATCCCTTTGGTTTCAGAGTGCATCTACTGAGGGAGCCATATGATAACTTAGGTTTCCGAGGGAGGTGATGGTTTGAAACGCACCTAGCAGCAGTTTCTCCTCTAGGCCGGGGCTCCGGAAGCCATGGCTCCAGTCTCCTTCGCCTCCCTCCATGCCACCAAATTAAATAGGGTTCTGTCCAAGAGACTTTGGATTCTAAACTGCTCATTCTCTAGGCAGCATTATTTAGTCAGCTGAGGGCCTGACCGAACACCTGTTCAGACAGAAGAAAATCCTACAGAGCCCTCCGTTTCCCATCTAGAATAAAGTCCTACAACTTCCAGCAAAACTGGCCTGGGAACGCTAAAAGTTCTTAGGGTTTTTGGTTACTTGCATACTTCATGAACTGCTGATTTTTAAAATGTGCACCCGATAAATTTAGAAGTCCAAAAATGTACTTTCCTTCCTCAACATACACGCACACTGGAGGATCAACAAGTCTTGCCTGCGATGCACAGGTTGCTTCTGAATCCCATTCTCGATAAATCAATTTCTTTTCAATCCATCAGGGCATTTGTAACCAGTCTTAATTGATGAAAATAACTTCCTGTATGCCAGGGGGATTGTGTTTTTTGAAGGAATCAAATCCAGAACAGATGAGCAAATCAGCAATTCTGATTGAAATACAGTTTACCATATTTTTATTCCTAACCCTTTAACGAAAGTGTCATGACCATCTTACATAGGCTTCTAGTCTATAACTGTTCTAGCTAATCTTCCTGCGTCAAAACCAGGGGTGTGATGAAGGCTCCTCAAACAAGCCATCTTTTAAGAACTGTGTATTTAAACTGTCCCTGCTTTCTGTGTTTTCTCCTGATGTCCTGTTTTGTTTCAGCTGTAAGAAGACTGAGGCCAGCTCACTGATATGCACAGTTCAGATAGAACTTGCTGAGATGCACAGTCAGCCTTTTGGAGAATCACTGTGAGTGCTTCCCCATCACGGACCCTTTGTGCTATTTGAGACTGAGTTCTGTGTGCCAGTTGCTGCTGATGTCTTTTGCCTGCATGCTACGTCATCAGCACAGGATCTGAGCTGGCAGCAGCTGGCCAAGAAAGGGATCTTGACCTTGTGGTGGAGACCTTGAGAAAATACTGACCCCGTCTGTCTGTGGCTGCTGCGGAAAAGGTAGAAACATATTGGGCAAAATCCAGGAAGCAATAACAAGTAGAAGCAGAACTGCCCAGATCAAGCTGCCTTTATGCAACTCTTAGCTGCGAATGCACTTAGAATCCTGTGCACAAGTCTGGTCACCACATCTAAAGAGAGATGAAGAGGGGGCAAGAAAGGGGAACTGAAGTGATTGACTGGTTTGGACCTTTTGGTCTGTTGGCGTGAAGGCAGCCCATTCCACCAACTCCCACAATTGCAGTGTAGTTGTTGTTGGTATTGTTAGTCACGAAGTCGCGTCCAACCCATCGCGACCCCAAGGACAACATTCCTCCCGGCCTTCCTGTCCTCCACCATCCCCCGGAGTCCACCTAAGCTCATGCCGACTGCTTCAGTGACCCCATCCAGCCACCTCATCCTCTGCCGTCCCCTTCTTCCTTTGCCCTCAATTGTTCCCAGCATGAGGCTTTTCTCCAGGGAGTCCTTCCTTCTCACTAGGTGGCCAAAGTATTTGAGTTTCATCTTCAGGATCTGGCCTTCTAAAGAGCAGTCAGGGTTGATCTCCTCTGGGACTGACCGGATTGATCGCCTTGTGGTCCAAGGGACTTGCAGGAGTCTCCTCCAGCACCGCAATTCAAAGGCCTCAATGGCTGTGAAAGCTGGACCATAAGGAAGGCTGAGCGCCGAAGGATTGAGGCCTTTGAATTGTGGTGCTGGCGGAGACTCCTGCGAGTCCCTTAGACTGCAAGGCGATCAATCCGGTCAGTCCCAGAGGAGATCAACCCTGACTGCTCTTTAGAAGGCCAGATCCTGAAGATGAAGCTCAAATACTTTGGCCACCTAGTGAGAAGGAAGGACTCCCTGGAGAAGAGCCTGATGCTGGGAACAATTGAGAGCAAAGGAAGAAGGGGACGGCAGAGGATGAGGTGGCTGGATGGGAATGTTGTCCATGGGGTTGCGATGGGTTGGAATGTTGTCCATGGGGTTGCAATGGGTCGGATGTGACTTTGCAACTAGCAACAACAATTAGACCACTCCTAAAAAAATCAAACCTGGATCTAGCAGACGGCAGTAACCACAGGTGGGTGGCCAGTGTCCCCTTCCTGGGCAAGATATGTGAGCAGGTGGTAGTGAACTGCTCCAGGGACTCTTGAATGCTCTTCCACATCTATATACCACTGCTGGAGGAGGTTATCTGGAGCTGTGGTCTGAGATGCAATCAGTATGCATCTCAGCTCCAGCTCTCCTTTTCATCTAGCCCAGGTGAGGCGCTGTCTGTTCTTAATCATTATCTGGGCTTGTGAATGGGATGAATGAGGGCCATAAAACTGAAGCTTAATCCAGATAAGACAGAGGTGCTGTTGGTGGAGGGATCCTCTGTCCAGATGGGTGATGTTACACCGGTCCTGGATGGGATTGCACTCCCCGCAAAGGACAAAGTTCTTGGTTGGGGGTGCTCCTGTACCCTGAAGGTATTGCTGGAATTTCAGGTGGATCTGGTAGCCAGGAGTACCTTTTACCAGCTTATGCCAGTTCACCAACTACAGGCTTAGAGTGTGGGATGTCATGAGGTGTAGTGAAGGCCCCCCCCGCCCCCCGTACGAGCGACTTCAGAAGGGGCAGAACAAATTCCTGGAGGTGGGAAAGCTGCTGATGGCCATCAGGCCTGCTGCTTAGTACACCCATTGCTGGGAAACATGGGCAGGAGGGTGTCTTGCGTCACACCCAGCCTGCCTGTTGGATGCCTTTGTGCTGTGGCAGGGGCAGAGGCGTGGTTTGGGCGCACCGTTGCAGTGCTGTGGCGGCAGTGGAGTGGTTCTCGAGCCGGTAGCCAGAACCTGCCCTGGGGGCTCGACAGGCTCCAGAAGAAGCGAGGGCTGCAGCAGGCCCAGCTGGGGAGCCCACAAAAGACGGGAAGAGCCTCTCAGCATTCCCAGGGCCATGAGTTTTAACACAGGGTCTTGTGGCGCCTCTAGGGCGGATCAGTTTCTTCTGGCATGCGTTTGCATGCTCCCCTTCTGCTCCACTGATGCATGAAGTGCACATTTCACAGCACCCAGAGCCAGGAGAGTTTCCGCTTGTCCAGGAGGAGTGAGACCCAATCCTGACTTCTGGCTACTGGAGAAGTTCAGCATGTTATCTGCTGGACTGTGACAACCTCCTAGCCAGGCATCTTGCGCAGCCTGGCCGCTGCACGCTGGCTGCCTCCAGCTGCAGCTTTGGGTCTCCTTCCCTTTCCCTTTTTCCCTTGCGGGGGTGTCTCCAGCTGACTCACTGCAGACGGTCAGGGGATCCTTCTGGGCGGAAGACTGGGATCAAAGCTCCCGAATAAAGCCCCTGTGGCTGATGGTTGGAGAGCCGGGGTGGGATGCAGGAACTCAGAGCATCCCCCTCTATCATGGAGCTCATGGGGCGCCGTTGGGCTGGTCCATGATGCGCAGTCGAAACTGCTCGCAGGCTCGTTGCGGGCTGGAGGGAGAATAGGAAAAAGGGGCGGGGCAGCCACGTTACTGAACAAGCCAACCTAGTGTCTAGTAGGCGCAGTGGACTACAACTCCCAGCTGACCCCGTAGAGCCCCCCCCCCCAACAAGAAGACCCCCGGGTTCTGGGGTGGGGCGGTGTCTGCCAGGCCGGTTTCTCGGGGTCCCTGGCCGGGGAAGAAGCCTGGCATCCTACGGCTCGCTCCCAGCACCGCTCCCCGGCTGCGGTTACGCGCATGCAAGGCTAGGTGGGAAGAGGCAAGCGCTGCCCCTTTAAATAGCTCCCCGGGGAGTTGCGGGGAGAAGAGCGAGCGCGGCGGCGGCAGCCCAGAAGCAACGTTCGCTGGCGGGCGAAGCAGCCAATCCGGAGCGAGCTTGCTTTCCGTTTTGCAACCGAGGCTCCACAGAAGCCCCGCCCCTTTCCACCCGTCCTCGAGAGGGGGGCCCAGCTGCGTTTTAGTGTGTGGGGGGGGGGGGGGCAAGCAGGCAGAGGAAGCAGGTGTGTGATGCGGAGGAGCGCTAGGAGGTCAGTGCATCCCCCCCCCCCCACCCTAAGCCACCGCACCCATGTTGCTTGCTTGACAACCCCCGCCAAATTGCAATGGATGCCGCTTCCATTCTTGCCTCCCTGAACGCTTAACGAGGGGGGCACTCTCGTTAGCCCTCCTAACTGGAATTCCTAATACTTGGAGTCGGGGGGAGAGAATTAGAATTAGCTTTCCCGAGGGAGGGGAGGGGCTCCTCCTCCAAATTTGTTATCTCCTGGCTTTGCTGCTCTCCGTCCCTGTCTGGAAGAGGAGGGTGCAAGAAAATGTGCATTTTTCCTACTATATTTTTAACTAATGCATTTGTTGGTAACAGGTAATCGAAATAATTTGTTTTAGGCTTTGCAATTGGGCGATGTCACTCTTTCATTTTTGGAAGGGGCATTTTCGGAGGGAAGGGGTTGGGGGCACATTGCATGTCTGTGCATTATATAGCTGCATATGTACATGCGTGTGCAAGTGTATGCATTTAAAGTAAACGTATCTGGCTTGGCTGGAGCCTTCTCTTCACCTCCATGCAGACCTGGGGCTTGGCTGATGATGCAATCCAGTCCCAAAAATAAGGCTTAAAGGGGCGAGGCAGAGCCTGAGTGTGCAGCCTGCAGTTTGGAGAGCAGGCCAGGAATTGTTCCAAGGTGGCAGGTTTCAGGTGGCAAGAGAGAAGGGCTGGACACATCCGTGGCTCTGTCTTTTTGAGGCACCCACGGGCGTGAGGTGCAAAAGAAGCAAGACACAGGAGGGAGTGCTGAGCTGCCAAACACCAGTTGCTCTTACCCTGGAAAAAGGGGGGGGGGTTCCAAATTGTAGCAGGTGCGTCATTGTCGTCCCCCCCCCCCACGCACACACACATTTCCTGTGTTACTGAGCAGGTAATTTTTGCAGAAGCCTGCAGCCCTGAATCCTTCGCTCCAGGATCTGTTGGGTTGTTGTCTCTCCCTGCCACCTGTGTGAAATTTTCCACTCTTGCTGCCTTTGCAGGCGAGCTGCTTTGCAACAGGGACAGGCTGAATGGGGGCCCAGGGACAAGCGACCTGCATGTCCGTAGCAGTCAAAGGTCCAATCTTGTATCCACAGAGGCTTGAGCCAAAATAAATATTAGATGATGTATGAGTTTTAACTGGCCAAAGCAGACTGGCCAGTTTTTCTTCTGTTTCTTCTGGTTTCTCAGTTTGCCTCAATTTTAAGAATATTGAACCTGCCAAGGAGATTTCCAAAGTCTGCAGGTTTGTTTGGCCTTTTTTTTTTTTTTTGAGGTGGGGGGTCTGTGTCATGGAGTTATAATTTTGGGAGTGTGTTTATGTATGTGTGCAGTATCAGGGTGTGAAGATGAGATAAATTTGAATGCAAACGGAGGTGCCAATGCTCTGTGCCAGCCTGCTTGCTATTCTATGCAGGGGCAGGATGAGGCCCCTGGACCTTCTGAGGCGGTACCTTGTATCATCTGCATCCCACTGTGAGTCTGTGCTATCGCACACCCTGCATGGCTTGCCTGGATCCAGGCCTGAACCTTGCCTGTTCTGGGGGCCCAGAATGCAGGACCAGTTGGCAAAACATTCCATGACCCAGAATGGGTGAATGAAGAAATGGAGATCTTTGTGGAAATGGCTGCTTTTGCGGATCCAAACATTGCTAATGTTTTCATGTCCAGGAGCTCTGAATATGATCAGCCAGTGTGTGTGTGTGGGGACTCAAATTGCTTTAAGTAGCCCTCTCCAATCTGGCATTTTTCATGTGTAGGAGACAGAATGTGTTGCTGGGGGGCTGTACTTCACCTGGAGCGCACCAGAC